TGTTAGATCAATACCGAGATTGGTATCGCATTCTCTCTAATAATCATCTTCTACTGGACCGACTAACCGATCATAGTCCCATGTGGTTAGCTAGCGCAGCTTCATCATGCTTGGAATCTACAAATCCAACTTTAGCTAATGTGGATAATAAATCTTTTCTAGTTGAGAAATCGGAGGAATGTAATCAAGTAAAGAAAGGTAAATCTATAATCAAATTTTTTCTATTTTAATGAAGGATATTGGAAAACTTTTATTTTAATCTAGCCTATATATTTATTTGTGATATCTAGCCAGTATGGATTTTTTACTAGTCTATCTTGTTTGGGCCTTTTTGTATTTTACTTTAGGTTGTATGCATTCAATAAGATTCTGCTTTATTTATAAATTTTAAAGCATATTTATAGCACCTACTTTACCTAAATTGTTTTTATCATTGCATGTGAGCTACGTCTAGGTGTTTCTCTGTTATTTTAAATGAATTGACCTATTCACGATAACTTTAAGCCATTTAATTCCAGGCAAGGCTATCCTGTAATTGCCCACATAAACCATGGTTCGTTCGTCTTAAATTCGTGTCTACAAAACTATTGGCAAGTATTTGCTCAGCTCGGCAGTTGTTAGCTGATTTAAATGTGCTTGACTCCCCATTTCTGTATTTATTTATTTTTTTCAGTGCTGCATTCCACTATAATTGTATAGCTTTTTAAATTTCAGAGTAGATAACGCTTACTCCTTTCTTCATCATACTATGTTTTACTTGCTTCTCTACAACTCCCAGACGAATTACATTATTGTCCTACATTTGCCACTATTTGCTGGTGTTATTTTAGGGCATTATATGATATTTTCTTAAACCTGGCCCTTGATATCGAGTAGGAATTCTATAATGTATTTTGCTTCTTGAATTTTTCATTGGACATTATTATATAATTATCCAATCTTTTACAATATGTTGTTTTGCGCTCTTGCTCAAGTTATATAGCTGTTCTTGAATCATGCTAGGTATTTATGTCACACTAGAAATTTCTTTGAAAACTGAAGGTTTAATAATCCACAGATCATTTCATATATTTAAAAAATATCTTATTCTGTAGACCTGACTTATAAAAACTTCTATATTGGCGAATTTGATTATTTAATGTAAAAAAATATCACTTAAACGACCCTTATGGCTTTGCTCGGCTGTTATATATTCCATCTTATTTTCGATAATTTCAGGAATGAGTTTAGTTTAGCTTAAATCTCTTTTTAACGTTATACTTGACAGAAATTGTCGACAACTTATTTTTGCAGCCTTTACTTCATTAAGCTATAATTTACGATCTTCCTTCCGCATCCATTTCGTGAAAAGAACACACTAGACGCTCAACTATCGGCTCTGCTCCCCAAAATATAGGCTGGATTCCATCTCGTGATTGTCGTTCTCAGCCTCCCGATACCAAAAAAACTGATCGGTACATCAATAATGTTAGGCAAGCGCCCTCCTACCTTGATTTTCGTTCGGATCTAGAAACACTTGCAGGGTCTTCTGGCATCACCTATATGCAAGCATGGCCACCGACCAGCGTTTTTGAAAGTCTCTCCCCAAGCCTCACCTGGCGTCTCTCGTCTGCCACAAAAGCCGCCTGGGAATCAGGAAATGATGATGACGATATTACGGATGGGTGTGATGTAGACGATGATGGTTCCACTGACTTTGGAGATGGTGCTGATGCATGCCTACGGGAGTTGTTTTCTGCCTTCAATGTTTGTCTTGAAGAAGAGGATGTGCTGCATGCAGATGACTGTCTAACGGACGATGAACGCAACGCCGATGAGGAATACATTAATCATGACTCAGAATCGCCATCAAGTCTGCAAAGTGGAAGTCTCAGTGAGGAGGGTAAATTGAAATTCACTAGTTAACATTATTCATCATTTAAAATCCCGTCGTTTATTTTTATATAACTCTGCTGGAAATAATCAGCCTTGATCCGATTCACAAAGGTTTTCTCGTGCTTTTATCGAGCTCATTCATTCGTTATTGAATTCCGCTAACATTCGCTCTCAGTACTTAATTTTGAAGCAACCAAAAATAAGGTTTCCTGGCATTTATTAATTAATTGGACAAAGATATGAGGATCAACACGGTGTAGCCTTTTGTTTGTTTGCAGTATTATTTAGCTATGTAGTGTTGTTTCGACCTCGTTTTCGCAACTTAGTCGGAATAACAAAGAGATCTTATAGAGCGTACCTTATTCTGCGTCATCTGACATGGTATTTATGATAATTTCCAGCATCGTACCGTTGATTTGGTACATTATCATACCTTTCCAGCATCGTCAATTAGAGCCGCCATCGTTAACAGTTACAATTTATCTAAGTGCCAAGTGAAGTGAAATGACAAATTTTCTGTTAAACCGTTCTAGTATCGCTCTTTCCTTTTTTCCCCTAGATTTTAGTGCTGTCTCTCTTTGTGCCGGCCTCAGTTCAAGTGGCTCATTTACCTACCCTCATTTATGTGTTCTCTTTTTCTTCAATATCGCCTATCAGTGTCACTAAGTTCCTAAACTAAGTTGTATTGCCACAGATAATTTTTTGTAAATTACGTTATTTACTTATGTGGATTTTTCCTCCGGAAACACCTTAATTTATTTAGCCCAAAGTCTATTTTACAATTTA